AAATGATGAGAAGATAGGCAATTTATCTGAGAAAGTTTAAAGTAATGATGGCAAAGATGTTCAGAGAACTCAAGAGGAATACAGATGCACAGACCGAAGCTTTTAGCAAAGAGTTGGAAAACATAAAGAATACCCAAATAGAGTTGAAGAATAAAAATCACTGAAATGAACAATACTCTAGAAGGAACCAAGAATAGACTAAATGAGGCAGAAGATCAGATCAATGAGCTAAAAGACAGATTAGCAGAAATCACTACTGCAGAACAGAAAAAAGAAAAAAGAATGAAAAGAAATGAGGATAGTTTAAGAGAACTCTGGGACAACATGAAGCACACTAATATTCACATTATAGGGGTCCCAGAAAGAGAAGAGAGAGAGAAAGAACCTGAGAAAATTTTTAGATACATAATAACCCCAAACTTCCCCAATTTGGGAAATGAAACAGTCACCCAAGTCCAGTAAGTGCAGAGAGTTCCACACAGGATCATCCCAAAGAGGAACACACCAAGGCACATAGTAATCAAATTGACAAAAATTAAGGATAAGGAGAAAATATTAAAATTAGCAAGAGAAAAGCAACAAATAACATACAAGGGAACTCCCATAAGGTTATCAGCTGATTTTTCTGCAGGAACTCTACAAGCCAGAAGGAAGTGGCATGATACATTTAAAGTAATGAAAGGGGAAATTTACAATGAAGAATACTCTGTCCAGCAAGGCTCTCATTCAGATTTGATGGAGAAATGAAAAGTTTCACAGATAAACAAAAACTAAAAGGATTCAGCACCACCAAACCAGCTTTACAACAAATGTTAAAGGAACTTCTCTAGTCATCAAACCATAAGAGAGCAAAAAGAAGAAAGAGAGAGAGAGGGAAAAAAAAGACCTACAAAAGATTGCTTTGGAAGTTCAGGGTCTTTTATGGTTCCATATAAATTTTGAAATTGTTTATTCTAGTTCTGTAAAGAATGTCGTGAGTATTTTGACAGGGGTTGCACTGAAGCTGTAGATTCCTTTGGGTAGTGTGGCCATTTTAATAATGCTGATTCTTCCCATCCAAGAGCACAAGATACCTTT